CCAGCAGGTTGAGGCTGCAGTGGCCGGGAGTGGCCACTGCACTCCAGTCTGGGTGACAGAGTGAGACTCCAACTCAAAAAAAATAAAAAAGTGTATACAATAATTTAATGTGTGATGTTGAAACTGTCAAGATTTACTGAGCACCTACTAAGTGGTAGGCACGGTGCTTGACACATGTTATCTCCTTTGAGACTCACGACAACTCCCAAGCCAGAGACAGTTAGTGCTCTCATTTTACAGATGATGAGATTGTAGGTTTGGAAACAGTGAATGGTGTTCAAGGTCATATAACCTGCAAGTGATGGAACTGGGACACAGCCCAGGCAGACTGATTCCAGAACACCAGACAGTAGTGGTTCACAGCCCTTCCCATGCCCTCCTCAAATACATTCAGAGCAAGTTCAGGCAAAAATCACCATTTTATAGACTTTGGAAAGTGGAAGTGTGGGGAACTCCAGAGTTTACCACTTGTAGCTCTTCTCTAAGACAAAAGTCCTCAAAGTTCTTGGTCCACAATACTCAAGACTGAGCCAATAAGCAAGAATCCACCCCAAACACCATGATTTCAGAGAGTCCATGGAACAAAAACACACCAAATATATGACACTGACACAAGTGAGCACATAAATTTAAAAAGGTAAATATACCACTCACACAGAAGGAAAAACGATTAAAACTCCAACAGAATGAGGTCTGTTCTTCAGGAGAAGGGAGAATGCCAACACACTAAATGCTTTTATGACATTAAGACGAGGAAAATTTCCCAAGAGAAGCAAAGCTTGCATTCACAAAGCGAGCACCTTGGCATTCAAACCGAGGCACCCCTGGAAGGCATCACAGCTCTGGTTTCAAGGAGCTGCCGGGGGAAGGAGCCAGAGTCTCTGGCAAGAAACTGGGCCTGGCCCCATCCTGTATGCCAGCTCCACTTGGTGGGGAGGTAGAGGGATAGCTGGCTGGGAAGTGGACAGTAACTTTACTTGGTGTTCAATTTTTCCACACTGCCCACTTGTATCCCAAATCAGGCCTGGGAATCAGGGAAGAATGTTGGGTATAGACCGAGATGGAAAGAAGTCTACAGAGGATGGGAGCACTGCCGACACGCTCCCATAACACATAGAAGCAACACATATGCCACTGGGCATGTATTTACTCAGATACAGGCGGGCTCTGTACTGCAGGACACGCCACCAGTCTTGATGACTTCCAGAGTGAGCTGGCATGTGTGGAGTCAGTTTTGGAATCACAAGTCCTTCCTCGGAATCCAGGCTCTTCCGCTTACCAGCTTTGTGACCTGGGCAAGGTACTTAATTTCTCTTGTACCTCAGTTTCCCCGTCTATAAAACCGTGATAATACTACTACCTTTCTAGGCAGTATGACTTAATGTAAATGAGGTGATATATGTAAAGTATCTGGCCGGTACAAGTAGCCAGTGGTGACCTTGTGTGAATAACAATTTCTTTGGGCTTAAAAAGTAGGCTGGGAGGTAGCCGACCAGCCTCGAAGTCCCTTCCAGAACAAGAGTTCTAAGTGAAACCCATCATGCTTTAAGGTACTGGTTACCTGGTTTCTCTCTCTCCACTTCTTTCTCTCCAAGTACACTGTTTTTATTTCCACGGTTTTCTCTTTTCCTGTTCTTTATATTTTAGCTATCCTGAAAGCTTGAGGAAGGCAGGAGTCTTAAACACCCAGAACTTAATACAGTGCCTAGTGCTAGTCAATGAAAACCTGTTAAAAAATAAGTAAGTTAAATCCAAATGGCCCCGGCCGTGTTCTAACCATCCTCCTTATGAATAGATATGAACAGATGATGTGCACTCACATGCGTGGAGTTATGAGTTTTGAAATGATTTCCAGTTAGTTCATTTGAGAAGTACTCATCAAGTATTATGCTAAGTGTTCTGAAGAAGTGTATGATTTTACAGGACTATTTTACAGAAGGCTTGAACGTGGGCCTTGTCATTTGCTAGTCTTGTGACTATGTCTAAAGTTACTTATGTGAATATTAGTTTGCTCATCTGTAAAGCAGAGCTCATGGTATTACCTATCTCCTAGGGGAGTGATGAGTCAATGAGATTACACACACAAACACTTAGCAGAGGGCTCCACACAGAGGTCTCCACTCCGTGAACAGTTGTTTAAAACGAATGCAGAACACTTCCAGCTCTTCTCAGCTGGTATTCTTCTTGCCTGCTAAAACACTGGCATTAGTGATTCAGCAATCACTCCCACTAGCATTCTTTCTGGTACTCATTCAGTTAGTCAGCATTTCTTGAATATCTACTCTAAGGCCGGGACAGTGTTAAAGATGCAAAGATTCCTCTCAAAATACCCATAATCTGGTGGGAAAGACAGCTAGGAAAAAGATGCAATGCAAACTCACAAGTAGGAAAACAAGGAGCTGAAGGTGTTCCATAGTGAACACAATCACCTGGAGGAGAGGAGGAGGGCGCCAGTGAAGCGGGTCGTCAAGAACAAGAGGGCTGACCAGAGGAGCCAGGGGCAAGGCGAGAGGCTTGGGCAAAGGTTCGCCAGCAAGACAGTGCAAAGATCCATCGACAGGGCAGGTCACAGAGGGCTGGGAGAAGGGAGGAAGGACGGAGGGCAGAGGGAGAGAAACTCAGACGCAGGCAGGCTAACGCCCCATTGTGAAAAGCCTTGAGTGACGGGAAATTTTTAAAAGTGACAGGGCAGCTCTTTTG